GGTGTTTCTATGGTGACAGAGGAAACACATCCCTACTGCACCAGAGAGCTGTCTATCAGAGCAGCGACAGTTTGCCATTAGGTGAGCAGGGGTATGCATTTTTTTTCCTCTTAAATGTTATACAAATGGCTTGATAGACATGGAAGAGAAACTAATGAAAATGCAATGTTTTTCTTTCAATAAAAGGTGCCATTCAGTCCCACCCTTGTTCCATGGAGGATAAGCTTCAAAACCACAGTCATCCCTAGTTAATCCCCACCAGCTTTATCCCCACAGGTGGGGAGACATGAAGCCTGTTTCTGCCAATGGTTTCTGGGGAAAGTTGTCATCACCTGCTAATCCTAGAGGCTCTGAATATAATTACATTTCTAATCTGAGGGTTTATATGAGAATATAAATGAAAGGAACAGCTTCATTTGTATCCAACATTCCAAAAGTATAGGTTTAAACTTTCTTTTGAATTTTCAGACCCTCCACACCCCAGATACACTCTCATTTGTTAGTGCCCTGTTTGTGCGTGATGTGGCAGCCCCAGATAGGCTCCAGACAGCAATGCCTGCATAGAACCGCCATTGCCTCTTCCAACATGGACTCTCTTTTGCCAGTGACCATGTCTAGAACTGCATCAGCTTCTTAACCAGCTTGTCAGTCCGTCAGCTACTATTGAACTTGGCTGGTAGCAGGTGATTAAAATATATATATATATATTTGTATATATATATAGCTCTACCCTCCCCCAACTACTATAATGGTGGTCCTTCATTATGTGTGCTAGTGTTTCGGAAAGTGGTTTTCACATTGAAATTACTGGCAATTCTAGACTAGTATAGCCTAAGAGCACCTGAAAAACAATAGTCTGAAATCCCACTGAGTTCCTTGTCTCTGATTTCCAAAGTCAGCTGTATTTGTTAAAGCTTCATTTTGCCAAGAATATAAGTGATAATAGAGAGCTTTGCAAATCCCACCTCTCATACAGAAAAATAGCTATTTTCAACACCCCATCTCCTATGGAAGGAAGGCCCCCTGTGCCAGGACATATGCATCTGTGAATTCATGAATGTGTGCCCTTTTTTTTTTAAACAACACTGAGTCTCTTGTCAAAGCGAGGGCTGTTTAAACATCCAGCTTTCGACAGTGATGAGAACAGTGCCAATCTATTTAGAGGACTATAATGTCCTCAAAACCTATCTCAAAATTTTTTAAAATTCTCCATTTTAATAAGATTATTGAGCCCTCAAGCTAATTCAAACATCACGATTAAAGCTATTTCAGTCATCAGTGAGGAAATGGCCTGATGGAAATTAAGAGAATCTTGCCTCTTAAATAACTGGTAAATCCTTGCCTTCAAAAGACATTGCAGAGCTCTGGTTCTGAGAGGAGAGGAGGGGAGAGGAGTAGACTTTTTTTTACTATTTCCAATTTGGTCAATCATGGTCTGTTACTTTTGCTGGTTGTTATTTAATCACAAAGATTCTTATAAAGCATCTCCAAGTATTCTTATACCCAAGAAAGAATCTCTAGCCTTTACTAAGTAGAGTCCTTTTATATTAAAATGCAAGATGGCCGAAGAATTTATAGGACAGAGGAGGAGCTGCCACAGGCATTAGCAGGAATTGGAAAGCTCACAGCATGGACAGAATGGAAGGACTTGGTCAAAAGGCCAAGTCAAGCAGTGCAGGAAACAGAAAGTACTTTGCTACATTGGGAGAAACATCAGAATTAGAGAGGTACGGCCCTCTATCAGGGTCAAGTGCAAGGTACATTTTCCCCCTACCTTCCCACCCCTTTGCAGATTTGTAAGTTGGAAGGCTTGGATGATCTTCACCCACAACCGGGCCGTGACCTGTACAAGGTAGCCCTGTTTCCCAGTGTACGTATAACCTGCCATCTTGCATTTCAAATAACACAACACTAGGCACTAGGTGCATATCTCAATTTCTAGATACAATTTTGTTCTATCCACAAGGTATTCCCTTAATTCTCCAGCAGTGCCTTTATCTGGTGAGATCTCCCAGCGAGTCTCCTGCAGCTCTGGGATAGCGATTTGGAAGGTAAAGCAATTGGATATTGTGCCTTTAAAATATCATCCAATTAGGCCTTTTGTAATACATACAACATAACGAGATAGCCTTACTGATTCTAAAGAAATTGCTAGTGCATTTCATCAAAGGCACAATAATGGAAACATCGATTCACTCCTCACCACAAACATCTCCCTTTGCTGCTGCAGTTACCTTAATACCAGCCCTTTTCATTTTCTCTGGAAGAAACCAGCTGCCTCAACGCATGCACATCACAGAAGGCTCCAGCCTGAAATAAGACATTTGTATATCAATCTCAACTACTCTTACATCTTCATTTGATGCTGCTCAGCATTACTCTCCTTGACTCCAAACCAATAAATTACCCTTGAAATGAAGAAAAAATCCTGCTGCATCCTGGCTGACAGGGGCTAGGTATTTTATGCCATGTCTGCAAATACTGCCAGGGGCATCATCTGCCTCCTCTTCCCATGTATTTACAAGAATGGTTAAGGCACCAGTTAGAAACTTCATGGACCTGAAGAACATTCAGCCACTTTACGCAAAAGATGTCAACAAGAAAGAGTACCTAAGGAATAACATATACAGAAATAGGCAGTGTGATTAGGAAAATCTGTCAACACCCACTGCCACATTTCCAAATATTTCTACTAAGTGAAAAGCAGCCACCAAGCCTGAAAGTATTTTGAGTGCATTACATCTACAAGAGCACTTTATGAGCAATTCTCAGTGCTGTGGAGATGGAGAAAAAGGATACTCGTTCTAGACACACACAAGCATAGAGGATTTGGTCGATCAACTTCTTGGCATGAGATTTGTATTGCTTCTACTCTAGCTTATCTCTGTATAAATAAAAAACATGGTTTAGGAGTTCTGAGCTTCTTCTAAATAAATTACCATCCAGCCATTTAACAATATCCAAATAACTTGTTATTTTTCAATATAGCTTCAAAATTCCTGGCTAAACTAAGCATCTAAACTCACAGACTATCTGACATTTGGCTAAGTCTTTCATAAAATATCCACTTGATGCCATGAAAGAAATGTATTTGCAATGGCTTTTGCTCTGCAAATGTCATGTGGGTGTCCTTAGGGAATTGCGTCAAGCACCTAACACCCACCATGAGGCTCTATTAGTGAGAGATACAAAGGTTATGTTGAATTATTGTTTAAAGGTGCTGACAACTTTCTCACACACACACACACACACACACACACTCACATTTACAATCACATATTCAAATATAGACTGAGGAGCCACTATTTCAGGAATTTGATAGAGAAGAAGCTATTCAACCAGGGTTATTCTGTGGGTGTCTCTGTGCAAGACAGTACTCAAAATTATCTACTTCCTTTCACTGACTGATTCCACAACATTATCGCATAGTGGTGTGGCATCAAAATAAGGTTCTGGAGATAGCAAGAAATACAAAGAAGAATCTAGTATCCCTTTTCTTAAGTACAAGTTTATCAAGTAAAGAGGGTTCTGTCATAGTGTTTATATGTTCATCCACTAATTCATTCACCTAACAAATATTTCCTGAGCATTTATTAAGTAACGGGCACTGTGCCAGGAGCACACATGCTACAACAGTAAAACCAGACATTGTTCTGACTTTCTGAAGCATGTAATGTACTGAGAAATGCTGATCATCCAAAAATCACACAAATCAATGTAAAATCCCACCTGTAACAGGTACTTTGAAGGGGTCTTCTCATAGTGCTATGGGAAAGAACATCAAGGTGGACTTAACTCCATTGGGGAGTTTAGGGAGGACATCCTGAGGAAGGGATACTAGATCTGAGATTGCTCAGTGACAAGGTTTACTTTAAGGACGAAGATTCCAGGCCCAGGAAATGAGCAAGGGAGACAGCGGTGGGGAGGGGCTTGAAGAAGAGCATTCAAGGTGAAGTGACAACAGTGCCTCAAGAGAGAGAAATAGCAGACCAAGCAGGTGCCAACAGGTCCACTGAGGACTGGTCTTTTTGCTGTGAACATTGAGAAAATGCTGACAGAGTTTAAGCAAAGGCATTAAGTCCTACGATCTCCATTTGGGGAACACATTATTAGGGCTATAGTAGGAATACACTACACAAGGCTCTGGCAATAGTTTAAATGACAGGTGTAAGCTATGCTTGAGTGGTGGTGGTAATAGAAGTATAAGGAATCAAGAGACATCTAGAGATGAGACTTGATGACAGGTTAGACATGGTGGGTTAGGAACAAGAGAGTGTAAGGCCACCTCCTGGGTTTCTGACTTTGGATATTAAATGGATACAGTAGGGGATACTGGAAGACAGCCAACTTTGTTGGGGGTGATCAGGAGTCCATTTTGGAAGCCTCAATCAAGAGGCTTCTGTGAAATAGAAGAGACAAGCCCACATGTACAGTGGATGTATGGATCTGGATTTCAAAGGGGAGGACTTCTGGGTCACTCTATCTTGAATGTACTTTTAGGAATAACAAAATAGACATGTTTGAGGCTCTCCTTCCTTTGCTAAACTCAGAACAAATTTTGCCAAATCAGGACCCCAGACTTGGAATCTGACAACATACATTCCAGCCCTGGCTCCTTCTGCTACTTGCTGGGAGGGTTTGAATAAGCACCTTAGTCTGTCTGCACCTTTGTTTACTAGTTATTATAAAATTATTGTGAACACACATTTCCTACTTGTTTCACACAGGTTCTTGTAAGGGTCAAATGGATAAAATAACAGAGAGGGCCATCTTAAGCCTGTGAAATAATAAAGAGCATTGCCCATAATTGAAATATACCTGCCTACATATTTTGATACTAACGAGTAGAAAGGAAATTTAGTTGCTTCAGACAAAAGCAACTTGTTTGGCATGATGAAATGTCATTGAATCCCCTCCAAAATTTGGATTGAGTAAACAGGTGCTTTTATGAGGTGGTAATTGGGTGACAAGATGTGAATGAAAACAAGTATTTTGTTCACCTTTTGATCCAGACTGTAGGCTAGCACCCAGTCCTCTTGCTTGGGATGAAAGAGCAGGCTCTGGATGTAGAAGGTGAGCCGGTACTTCTGATAAGTTGCCCCTTCGTCTGAGCTGATCAATATGCTACTCTCCATTTCAGGATCACTAAGAAGCATGATCTAAAGAAAGGAGAGAGGAGGAAATATTGAGTGAGTAGGAGAGAATAAATACAAGTAATTAAAGCATAAATATAAAGTCATCTGTACTTATATATCATAGCACAGTAAGGGGCATCTGGGCCTCTCTATGAAATATTGGGCTTTTATTTTCCCTAATTTAGTCCTTCATTGCTGAACTGAGCTAAAATACTGTGCAAGGTTACATCTGCATACAAATGAGATTTCACTTTGTGATGTCCATCTTCTAACTCTTAGGAACATATTCTTATGGTCCTCTGTCCTCCACCTTGGGACCATCACACCTCTCTCTCCCCGCTCCCCATCAATTCTCCATGTCACTCTTCATCACACTACTGCTCTTATTGCTCTTTAGTCGTGACTCCACTGTTTGTTTAGCCCCTTCTGAATTATTTTAGTACTTTAATTGATTTAAGTGATTTCATGACCCCTTTGTTCTAGATATTTTCCAAAGCATATATCCCCAAAAGTCCTTGGGGCAAGGACTGCTGCTCAAGAAAGTTTGTCATCCCTACGCCAAATGGACAGGATGGTGGAGTGAAATGCCCCTGGCACCAGAGAGAGCAGCTTCAAATCTCAGTACTTCTCCATTCACACTGCATCACCCTGGAAAGGTACTTAACTTCTAGAGGCCTCAGTTTCCACAACAATAATTGAGTATGATGCTATCCAAACTGGCTTTGAGCACTTGGCATGCTGTATATTCTTGGCAAATGATAGCTGTGATTACTATTTATCTTTCAGGACTTACTTAGAAGTCCCCTCCAGTGAAGGCAATTTGGCTTCTACTTATAGTACCTCAATGACATTGGTCTCATTGAAGGTATGATTGACTTTCCAGTATTTAAATCCAATAGGCATTTAAGACATTAATAGACACTCAGACCTTCCGTAAGGAAAGGTAAAAACCCTAACAATTTTTGATACCGTTGACAATGCCATCCTTCTAAAGCCCTCTCTTCCAGAAGCTCCCAGAACATCATACTCATCTGTTTTCCTTTACATCTCTTCCAAATTCTCAACCTCATGATTATCCTTACACCATGACCATTCCTCAGGCCTTAGTTTTGACCTTCTCGTCTTTTCACTCAACACACTGTTCCTCAGTGACTTCTTCCACTCTGGTTTTTATTTTTTCAACTGCCATCTTTTGGGGGACAACTCAATTTCACATAAATCCAAAACTGAGGTCTCCTCCTCTCAGTTTCAGACTTGAAAGCTCAGCTTTCTGGTAGATTCTTCTATTTGGATGCCCCAGAATGTACCTCATCCCAGTCCTATTCCTCCCTGATTGGTTCCTGCCTGGCTCAGTGTGTGTTTCCACTAACAATTTACATGAAGCCAAAAGCCTGAGATTCATGCGTGACTCCACTTCTCCACCCACTTCCTAAGATTAGTTAGTCTCTAAACCCTGTATATTTTACCTACCAGTTAGTTCTGAAATCATATCCATTCTGCCCTGCCCGTTGTAATTACCTTACTCCAAAATACGACAGCCCCTGTACTGGACAACGCTAAGACAGTCCTAGCCAATCTTGCTTTTTTTGTCTTGTTCCCTCCAACCTGTTTCGTACACTGTGACCAGAACAAGCATCCTATACTACAAGTTCTGATTCTGACATTCCTCTACTTAAAACCATTCAGTGGCTTATCGTTGATCTTCCTATATTCTGCAATCCCTAAAGCAGTCTGGCAAAACCTGCCCCTCCTTTTGTCTCTGGCTTCATCAGCTGCACAGCCCTTTTGACCTTCATTATCCAGCTTGATCCAACTTGTTTGAGTTCCTGATGTTTGCTGAGTGACGGAACGAGCAAATGAGTTAATTCTGCTTACAGTTTTTCCTGTCTTTAGCTAACTTGCCACCAGTTGATGTATGGTCTGAACAGGGCCCAGAGTACAAAATAAAGCCAAAACACATTTCCACACCTTATAAAATAAAACTACTAAAGAACAGGATTTTTTAAATTTCATCCATAGCATATATTAGTACAATTGACCCTTGAACAACATAGGTTTGAATTGTGCAGGTCCACTCAAATGCGGATTTTTTTTCAATAAATACATTGGAAATGTTTTGCAGGTTTGCAACAATTTGAAAAAAAACTCACCGATGAATGACACAGGCTAGAAATATTGAAATAATTAAGAAAAAGTTAGGTATGTCATGAATGCATAAAATATACGTAGATCCTAGTCTATTTTATCATTTACTATCATGATGTCAATAGTAGGCTATTTGTTGTTAAGTTTTTGGGGAGTCAAAAGTTATACCTAGATTTTTGACTGTGTGGGAGTCAGCAACCCCAGGGCCTGCACTGTTCAAGGGTCAAGTGTATTATAAAGTAAGCTTTAAAATAAATTCAGTCCCTTTAACTGCTAAGATTCCTTTACAGCTCCAAGTCAAGCTTACTTTCTTTTTTTAAAATATTTGCTTCGGCTTCATTGAAATAAGTTATTACTAGTTACCAGTGAATTTTTAGGAAATGGATGCACTGAAATATTTTTTCATTCATGTGTGAATAATCAAGGGGAAAAGCTCTCAGATGGGTCGTTCATAGACGGAATAACATTCTTCTGCCTTGGCAGGGCGAAGGGGTGGGAACTGGTAAAAGCACCCTGCTGACCTTGAGAAAACCTCAGAGGTCACACCCATGCTCCCTGCAGAGTTGGAAAGGCCGAATACACTGGGTAAGAAGGAGGGTTTCATACCCAACCTCACTTGCTTCTCACTGTGTACTGATGGGCTACATAACAGGCAGTGAAATCATTTTTCCCCCGGTGCAGAGAAATTAAACTGCTGCTTATTTTATGCAGGTATAAAGAAGCTTCAAGCCTATGGTTTTAATTAGAAGATAAGACCTACATCATAAACGGACTTTATTTTACATACCATCAGTTACAATGTACTGAATAAGCGTTACCATCAAATATCTAGTGTACATACTCTCTTCTCTAGTTTCCTTCTGCACACACACACACACACACACATTAAGCTACATATATGTGTGCAGATATACAGTCACACATACACCATACCTGTGCATGCATGCACACAGAAATTAATTCATATATAAGGTATATATTGACATTGTGTGGTGGTTTTAGCTTTTGTTGGCAAGAGTACAGTTTTATTGCAACCTTTCTCTGACATTCTCATCAGAAATCTTTCATATACTTTGATATCACTGGCAGTGTCTGTATTCAATCCTAGTTTCTAAGAAAACTGAAAGGAAGGGAAATAGAAACCTGCTTGTTCTCGATTTCTAATCTTTGCCACACACTTTACCAGACATTTTATTGAAACCTCACACAAAATATGTGAAGTATCATGAGTTGCCTTTTATAGATAAGGAAACTGAGGTTCACAGGAGGAATGCAACTTCCCTACTGCCACCTCTGATGGATGCAGATGCCACCACCTCCCCTCACACACTAACACTTTATTGGACCTTGAAACCACAACACTTTATCATCTTTACCAAGGGACAAGTAGAAGTCAGAGAGGCAAGTCTTCATCCTTTATTTAAGCATCTCTAAGAAATTCACCCAAAAAAGCAGCTTCAAGAAAGCCCCTTTCCTCTTCTGACTCACGTCCACCTCTAGTTAAGAGGACGTGAAGAATTAAATGAGTAGGAATCTAAAAGGGAAATAGAATGTTAGTACTCAAAAAGAAAAAGAAATAAAAGGAGGGGACTGTAATATTAACATAGATACATAATAAGAGAGCAAATACCTCTTCAGAATTTGTCTCAAGGTAATATCTGTGCATTAATATACTACATATATAAAGAAAATCATCCCATTCCACCTTAAGTTTCATTGTTAAGCAGGAATTTCAAACTCAAACGCCTAAAAGGGCAAAGCTGATAAAGTGAGCGAAGCAGATGATGCAAAACAAGGAGTGGCGAGCACGGTGCCAGCATGGAAAGTACACACCCGTCCTTAAAATATTTACAATTGTATTCTTTTTTAATTGTGCCCAAATCCAATATATCTTCAGACTGACTTTATGAACTGGTTATGTGCCTCTTGGTAAAGCTGTGATAGTCTGGTTCTGCGGAAATAAACTGACAGCACTTGCCTTCCCCTTGTAATTTCACGCGCAGGTGTAAGGCTGGCGGTGCCTGCTTAGACGTCCAAGAGTTCCATGAGCTCCTCACTTACGTGATTCTGACAATAAAAACAGGGACAAGTTCCCACTGGAGGTTTTGTTTTGGTTGAGTTTGCTTCTGCTTCCTGTTTGCTTTGATTCTGTACCCAGCTTGTCCTGATGGAAGTCTGCCGTGGGTGCATGCATGTACCAGAAGGGGACACAGGGTATTTCAGAAATGGTTCAGCAGAGTAATTAATGGTATAGGCTCTGGGGGCAGGTGACTTGAGTTCAAGTCCTCAGTGTGCTTCTTGATGTGTATATGTGAAGGTATTACTCAATTTTTCCAAGTCTATTACCTCATCTATGAAAAAAAAAGGAGATAATAATTGTATTTAACTCACAATGCTGTTGAGAGAATTAAATGAGATAATGATTAAAAGAGCTTAGTATGGGCCCAGTAATTGCTAAATAAACATTAACCTTTCTCTTGAAATCTTGAAATCACTCAGGATAAGAACACAGTTAAAATCAGAAGCAGGTTGGAGAAAAAGAGAAGCAATTTGGGGATCATTGGCCACCGTGTTGGCTCCCATCATTCCTGAGCTTTGTGGATAAAAACAAGAGGGATGGGACGTAGGAGAGAAAGGAAGTTGCTGTTCAGAGGGTATAAAGTTTCAGTCATTCAAGATGATGAAATTCTGGAGATCTGCCGTACAGTACTGTGCTTACAGTTAATAATATTGTACTCTACATTGGATGTACTTCATAAGAGGGTAGATCTCACGTTACCACAATTCTAAAAAACACAGAAGGATGGGGGAGTAAAACACTACATTTTTTTTTACATGCATTTAACATTCCTGGTAGTATTTTAAGAAAAAAACACTCT